GTTTAGGGTTTAGGGTTTAGGGGTTTAGTGTTTAGGTGTTTAGGGATTAGGCTCTAGGGGTTTTGGATTTAGGGTTTAGGGGTTTAGTGTTTAGGGATTAGGGTTTAGGGGTTTTGGGTTTAGGGTTTTGGGTTCGTCTTACAACAGTCTATGGGAGGGCAAAATGTTTCAAACATTGCAACGGTTTTAAAGGCTTTGTGCAGGTGTGACTTGCATGTTCAGGGGTATTGCAGTGCTCACGGTATTTCGTAGGTTTATCAGGCTTTCAAGAATTCGATTTATGTGAATAAGAAAGCCAAATTTCCAAATGTGAGGGAAACATGGTGATCTTAATGTCTATAGCTGGGACAAGGATCTAGGGTTTGAGTCTATATTCGAGTCATCGGTTTTCTGGAATAGAGAGAGGTCTACAGGTGTGAGAGAGCTTCTGTTTGTTGACTTGCTTCTCTTGATTCTTGTGTCATGCTCTCCTTTAGTGGCCTTGCCGTTTCGTTCACACTGGTCAAGACAGCTCATCTTGTCAAGATATTTTGCTACTTTGGCGGTACGTAGTAGACTGTCATGTCGTAGTTGTAGTCAGATTCCTAGTCGTGGTCGTAGTAGTCGTTGTAGAAGTTACTGCTAGAAGCTATTGGTACTAGTCGTTGTAGTAGTAGTTCTTGTTGTCGTCCCAGTAGTATTCGTCGTGGTCGCAGTCGCAGTCGCAGTTGCAGTCGCACTACTACTAGTAGTAGTAGTAGTAGTAGTAGTAGTAGTAGTAGGAGTAGTAGTAGTAGTACTAGTAGTAGTAGTAGCAGCAGTGGAAGTAGTAGTAGTAGTAGTAGCAGTAGTAGTAGTAGTAGCAGTAGAAGTAGTAGTAGTACTAGTAGTAGTAGTAGTAGAAGTAGTAGTACTAGTAGTAGAAGTAGTAGTACTAGTGGTAGTAGTCGTAGTAGTAGTAGTAGTAGTAGTAGTAGTAGCAGTAGTAGTAGTATTAGTAGTAGTAGTAGTAGTAGTAGTAGAAGTAGTAGTACTAGAACCAGTAGAAGCGGTAGCATTGACTTTGTCAGCAGAAGAAAAATGAGAAGTAGTTCTGGTGCTAACCTATGCTGTCGCCATGATGTTGAGCTTATTGCTGCGTTTCTTCCTGTTCTCGCGTTTCGTTGCTTCATCAAGAAGCCACTAGAGAACCCTGCTACCCTGCTTCCAGCCTCATGGGTACATCCGTAAATTAGGGTCCCTCTCTAGGCAGGCTGCCCTCGCTTCACGCCTGTCCTTCAGAGTGTTCAGGGTGTAGGGTTGAGAGTGTAGGAGCTGGCAGTGAAGACGTGCATTCCGTGAGGTTGATATCTATCCTTTTCATATGGCAGCGCTGTGCCGCTGATATCAACCTGTTCGCATCTCGGCTGCGAGCCCATACCCCAGACCCGGACCCCTAAACCCCTCTGCTTTGCGATACTGGAACGTACCCAAAAGCCCCTAGTTTAATTATCAAGGCCCCTAATATACGGGCCTTAAGAATTATCTATAATATTTCGGGTGCTCCTTATTATAACTATGGTATAATTGGCCCCCAAAACCCCATTAAAAAATTGTGAAGGCGCCTACATTGTCAAGGCCGCTATGCTCCCTAAGACCCTGCACGATGGAATACATTGAAGGCTTTGGAAAAATTATTTAGAAGCCTGACGAATTACCAGGACTTAGTGGTTTAGGGTTTAGGGATCAGGGTTTAGGGTTTAGGGATCAGGGCTACTTGGAGTATCATGGGACCTAGTAAGTAAGGTTATAAATCCCCTAATTGGGGTTATAAGTCTAGTTACCTTAGTTATAACCCTACTTACTAAGTCCCATGATCCTCCAAGTAGCGAATTACCAACACTGTTCCAAGCAGCTAACTATAACTATACTGGACTCTACCCTATACAAGCCCCTTTTAAAGGAATGCTGCAAAGGATCCCGGTTCTAACTATTGAAGCCCCCATATGGGGGTTTCCAAAAATAGGGGACCCTAATATAGTACCCTAAATAATAGGTTCCTTATTATAAGGACCCCAAAATAAGGTACCCTAATTTTCGGAAAGTCCCATACCCTAAACCCTAAACCCTAAACCCTAAACCCTAATTTTCGGAAAGTCCCATATTTCTTAATGCAGATGTTCATAAAATGCCGTGAGTGCGCGGTTGGAGTCCGTCGAGCCACCCTTCAGAGCGGCGAAGGTTTAGGGTTTAGGGTTTAGAGGTTTAGGGTTCAGGGTTTAGGGGTTTAGGGTTTAGGGGTTTAGGGTTTAGGGTTTAGAGGTTTAGGGTTTAGGGTTTAGGGTTTCGTGGCGAGTGCGATGTGCTACGAGGGACATTGGCCGGGCGAGCTCCAATCAAGCCTGTGTAAAAAAGGGTTTAGGGGTTTAGGGTTTAGGGTTTAGGGGTTTAGGGTTTGTCATGTTCGGGCATGGATGCACTGGTAGCATGGACCTTCTCGAAGCTGGGGCATGGATGCAGAGACCAGAAGCCGCGAAACCGAAGCAACGACCAGAAGGTGCATCTTCTGAACCTGCGAAAAGCTACAAAACCTCCACGGTCACGAATCGCGGCGCTAGCCTAAACCTATAATATATAGAATGTTATAACAATTTTAGAAGCTTCAGTATTTAAATGTATTCCATAGCGTTCCTGCCCTTAATATTTTAGCTATGCCGTTATGCTATATATATATATATATACCCCAAAGCCCCTTTCTAATCATTGAGGGCCCTATATGCAACCCCAAAGCCTTCTCTTTCCCGTAGTTGATGTTCAATAACCGGGGTATGCAAGGGGGCACTGTTGCTAAAGTCGGTCGAAGTCAAAGCAGACATGCACACCGCGTGATACTGCTTTTAGGTTTGTTCTCGACTCACTAAAACCTAAATCCTCAGCCATCCTAAACCCTAAACCCCAAGCCCAAACTGAGAAGAAGGTTCTCTAGGCCAAGCCTCAAGAGGGCTGGATTAACATACGGTGTTGAATACCTGGTTTCTTAATATTCTCCCCTTATAATCTCTAGGAACGTATAGCAAAATACATGGGCTTGGGCATTACGGGTCTAATTGCTCTAGACGTCACGGTGCCCGTATTGCCTTCCCTGTACAAACCTTTTCAATAAAGTGTACCCCTAAACCCCGAAACCCTAAACCCTATATAGCCCCGAACCATAAACCGCCAGGTTTGCCAAACAAACCCGCAACCTGCGCAGCGCGCACCATGCGCTTGCATGTTGAGATCCTTGGCCGGAGTGTGCTTCTGCACCCCCAACCCTACACCACTAAGCCCTTCTTGGAGGATCATGGGACTTAGTAAGCCAGGTTATAAGTACCTCGATTGGTGCCATAAGTAAGTATAACCATAGTTGCCTCGTTCATAGCCCTAAACCATTACACACCCTAAGCCCTAAAAGCCCTAAACCCCCACCAACTAAACTTACCTTCGTAAAGAAATGTGTGAGGAAATGCAGATCGATCTTCAGGTCGATCCTTCTTCCAGACCCTAATCTTCTGGTCAGGGGGGATAGGGTGACATTAGGGGTTTAGGGGTTTAGGGGTTTAAGCTTTCTCTAAGGTTTGGCGTTTAGGTGACAATAGGGCTTGGTTTTAGCGTTTAGGGTTATGGTAACCTGTAAACTAGGAAGGCTCATCCGATTTTATCTTCTGGTCAGGGGGGATAGGGTGACAATAGGGATTGGGTTTAGCGTTTAGGGTTATGGTAACCTTTAAACTAGGAATGCTCATCCGATTTTCTTTATCAGGGGTCTACATGATGCCACCAGGCTAATGCATGTCCTCGCGCACCCTTGTCAGACGTCAGAGCGTCAAACCCGGAAAAAAAAACTGTCAAGCCATCCAGAACCTGCTTGCTTGGTAGACATTTTCTGTTTTTTGCATGCAGCTCTGGATTGCTACATGCGCTGGATACACCCCTGACTTCGCCTCTAAAACCCTTTCCATTTCGTGCCACATGTAGACTACCATCCTACCTGGAACATGCAGGAGCTCTATGTCTCTGAGGAGCACATCTAGGATGTAAGCTCCAGCTTGGTGTCAAGCTGTGCAGATCATAATGTTGACATCTTGGTGTGGTGTGGGCCCTCCTGTGTTTCCGAGAAGAACCAACAACCAAGACCACCCAAACGATCTCAACAATAGGGTTTTGGGTTTAGGGTTTAGGGCAAAGTAAACATATTATGTCGGCATGTGGCTGAAGCAAGGTGCATGAAGGGGTTTGGAAAACGTGCCCTTTCTGCTCAGGATACCATTGCTAGCCAGTGTCCTCGCCAATGCCCTCGCCAGCGAGACAGGCAGCCGGGCCCTTAGAACTCTGATAGACTTGAATACAAATTGCTGTTGTCTACTTAGGTCCCCAATACCCAACCTTCAAGCTTTTGGGGCTCTTATAATTTAGTAGTGATCTGAAAGTTTAAACCTTCTATTTCCCCGGCTTATTCGGGAAGAAAGTCTTTATCTTGGGGAGTAAACCCTCAACCGCAACACCCTGATCCAGACCCTCCAACTGTCCTCCACCAGCGCGCAGGTACAAGGGTTGTTTCCCAAAACCTAAACCCAGGTTTAGGGTTTAGGGTTTAGTTTTTAGGGTTTAGGGTTTAGGGTTTAGGGTAAAACCTAAACCCTAAGCCCCAAACCCCATATTGTGCGACCATAATGAGTTGTTTGGGAAGGTTCTGATCCGGCATCTAAGAAATATTCAATGTAAAGCCACGAAACCCAGCGCAAAACCGCAAGCCACTGTTCAACTCGGCGTCTTGATACTGGGACTATAGGAGCTTTAGTAGTTACCTCTACTATTTTCGGGCTCCTTATTCTAATTGTGGTATACAAAACCCCAAAAGTCTATGCTAATTATTAAGGTCCCTGCAGTATCCTAAACTATGTCAGCTCCTAGGGGGTTTCACGCGCAGCTGTACGTAGGGATCGCGACAAAAAGGTGCCGGGAGAGATCGCACAGAAGACCTCGAGATTAAAACCCCAATTAGGGTACTTACAACCTTACTTCCTAAGTCCCCTGATCCTCCAAGTACCGCTGATCCCTAAACCCTAAACCCCTAAACCCTAAACCCTAAAAATATAATTACTTGTTATAACCCCAATTAGGGTACTTAGAACCTAAGTCCCAGGATCCTCCAAGTAGCCCTGATCCCTAAACCCTCAACCCTAAACTCCCAAAGCGAAGATCAGGCCAAACCCATATAGTACCCCTATAGATCCCTTAAACGGGACCCTTAAACCCCAAAAGTCTCCTAACCGGAAACTCTAAACCCTACACCCCTAAACCCCAAACCCTAAACCCCTAAACCCCCAAATCCGAAACCCTAAACCCTAAACCCTAAACCCTAAACCCTAAACCCTAAACCTAAACCGGAAACTCGCCTATGAGGTCGCGAGGCGGCGGAGAGGCTTAGCCCCCTGGCGCAGTACCTTGGCCGGCAGAGGAGAGGTGTTTTGAGGGTTTTAGGGTTTAGGGTTTAGGGTTTAGGGTTTGGGGTTTGAGGGGTTAGGGTTTAGGGTTTAGGGTTTAGTTTTGAGGGGTTTTGGCTCAGTACTTAAGGGCTTAGAGGATGTCGGGCCTTAGGGATTTAGGGGTTTAGGGGCTCAGGGATTACTTAGAGGCTTAGAGGATTTAGGGTTTGGGGATTTAGGGTTTGGGGCCTGAGGGATTTAGGAGTTTAGGGTTGAGGATTTAGGGTTTAGGGTTTTACAAGATTGCTTGGAGGATCATGGGGCTTAGTCTGTAAGGCCTTAAACACCCTAAGTAGATCTCACTGTATCCTTATTTACCTTATGTATCTCTAGACACTACGTACCATGATCCTCGACGTTTGGAGGGGTGTTTTGGGGCTTAAGGCTGTGTAGGGTGTATAGAGCTTTAGGCTTCAGGGTTTCTCAGGGTTGAAGGATAGGGGAGATGGAGGTTTAGGGTAAAAGGGGTCTTAGGTTTGGGCAATATAGGGGCTTTAATAATTGGAAAAGGGTTTTGGCGCCCATGATACTATATTTATATTTGGGAACCCCCAAATATTATTGGCAATTATTTAGGCCCTTATATTCTAAGGTTTGCTTGGGGTTGCTTTACGATAGATAGTGGGTAGACGGCGATGCGGAGCGAGACAGGGTCATGGGTCGGCAGCTGGAAGGACAAAAACGACAAGAGTACATGTGACCTCGCTGTTAAGCCTCTAGCTACCCCATAAAAATCAGCCCAGTAAAACTGGATAGATGTTATGAACACCTTCTTGAAGCCATATAAGTCGACATTCAGGCACTAACGTGGCACGGGATAAGAGCTTGATCTTCTTCGGCTAATTGCTGGCTTCAGTGTGCCCGGTTCCCCGAGCCCCCAACCACAAGGCATAATAAAAGCCTGAGGGGACTCAGCAAGTAGGACAGACATGGGGTGGTGTCATGGATACGTATAGCCGATGCGCCGAGTTTGCAAGTATTGGGACTTGAAAGTGGAGCAGGAAGTTGGATCATAAGAGGTTATGGTTCGGAGCTTCCATTTGCTAGCCAAGTTCGCGGATACCGTGGCGTACCCTAAACCCTAGACTAAAACAGCACATCCTACATCCCTCAGCCCTAAACCCCAAAACTAAACCCTCAACGCCTCTCTTAAACGTCGGCCCCTAAACCCTAAACCCTAAGAGAAACTACCGAGTTGCTTTGTTGCGGACCAAGGTCTAAAACCCTTAAAGACATCATGCTTTATAAACAGCCCGGGAACAACTATTTGCTGCCTTCTTGCGGACCAAGGTCTAAAACCAAACCCTAAACCCTGTTTGGTGCCTTCTTACAAACCTAAACCCTAAACCCTAAACCCTAAACCCTAACCAAGGTCAATCATTTCCATGACCTTGTCCTCGGCCGGGAACCCGACCGCAGCTCGGCCCATTCCTTATTTTAGGGGTTGGAATAGAATTGAGAAGGGATCCTTAGGGCGTTCCTCAAAAAGGATCCATAGGGGTTCGATAGTCAGCGTGTCGGTAGGAATTTAGGACGTCGTATAATTATAGCTCCTAAGCCCTAAACCCTAAACCCGCCATATACGCCAGAACCCTATTCTAAGGATCAGGGCCCTGTTCTCAAAGGATCAGGTCCCCAGTCTCTGGAAAAAATGAGCATGTTCAAGGGTTTAGGGTTTAGGGTTTAGGGTTTAGGTGCGTTCTAAAGTACTACAAGAACTGGTCCGTTGGTTGTAATGAGCCGTGAAGCCGTTTAAGAAGAACCCTATACTAGAGTCAAATCTCCTTGTCCTTATAGCGCCTTAGGAAGGTTTCTACAGGGGTTTAGGGACAAGGCGCTTGGGGGTTTTGGGTTTTGGGTTAAAGGGCTTGCTAAGAGTCTAGCAAGGGCTGGAATCAGGGCTCTAAAAGGGCTTCTGCGGGGCTTGTGTGAGGGGTTACACGCTGTTGGGTTTGGGTCAACTTACTCAGTACCTCGTCAAAACTCACCGAAAAGTAGCCCGAGTTTTTGTCCAGGGGCTACAAGGGAATCTAGAACTTTCGTGAGAAACCAGGAGGTGCTGCGCAGCAACTTACCTGGGATATGATTAGGGCTTCGGCTTCGGGTGCCCATAAAACTGGATTCTGGAATCTTCATTTCAGCATATACGTATGTACATACATACATACATACATACATACATACATACATACGTACATACATACATACATATATATGGTATGCCCCCCAGGTCCCTTGAACACCCAGAACCCTAAAGACCTAAACCGCGTTTCAGTCAACCTAAAGACCAAACCGCAATCCTAAGCCCTTACCACACACACCACACCCCTTCTCTACTTTCTTAAAGACCCCATGTTATCCTGTACCCATCAAAGGATCCAGGCGGCGAAGCCGTTCAGGTGGTGCCAGCAGCCATTGCTGAAAAAGCTGTTGATAGTCAGACGCGGAGAGCCCGCAATCTCGCCCTTCATCACGGGATGTTCTTCAGCTTATAGAATTTGCGCACTATAACTTCCCAACCTCCAAAAACCTGGTTCTGAGCCTAAAGCCACGAAACCCCAAATTTTAATGGAATCCTAATCGAACCCTTGTAGTACCCTGATGACCCCCCTTAAATCCCAAAGAAACGCAATCCTAAAACCTGAACCCTAAGCCCTGAACCCTAAACCCTAACCAAATAGCTTCAACCTCTCAGGTTATGCGCCGCGATGTCTCCGGCCACGGCCAGGTGGACGGCCAGGAGAAGCTTGCACATGCGCGGGCCTTTGCCAGAGTTCTAAAAAGGGTTTTTCCTCTGGGGCTTCGTGAGGCTTTAGGGGAGTTCTGCAGGTTGAGAGTGTAGTGCTGCTTTAAGGTTTAGGGTTTAGGGTTTAGGGTTTAGGGTTTAGGGTTTAGGGTTTAGGGTTTAGGGTTAAGAAGAGGGGCTCAATAGTTAGAATAGGTTTTCTTGGGGGGTGGGGGGGTATAGTATACCATAATTACAATAAGGAACCCCCAAAAACTCTTGTTCTAATTATCAAGGCCCCTACATTGGTGTCCTTTGAGGGTTTGGGGCAGTTTAGTGCAGAAGGTGTTTAGAAGCTTTCGGACTGTTGGGCTAGGGCTTACTTAGCTCAGTAGTATAGGGCCTTCATAATTACCTATACTATTCTGCGGGCTCCTTATCTTTATATGTAGAGTATACTCTACCCCAAGACCCTATTCTAATGATTAAGGCCCCTACATTAGCACTTTGAAGCCAGCCTCCCAAATCTTGAGCCCTAAATCCCTGTAGAACCCTAGCAGAACCCTTAGATAATTCCTTAAAGGGTTTAGGGGTTTAGGGTGTAGGGTTAGGGCCCAAAACCCTAAACCCTACCAAAACCCTTAGATAATTCCTTAAACAACTCTTGATAAGCAGAACCCGAAAAGAGCTCAAAAGCTGCTGTTCAAAAGCCCCCTATAAAACCTTCCAAAAGCTGTAGGTGAAAATCTTAAGCCCGAAACCCTCATGAACCCCTTAGCACCCTTAAGAGGCTCTAGATACTTTGTAGGACCCTGTTAGAACTCGATTTCGAAGCCTTAGTAGAACCACCTCAGTTGGTGAGTAAGTGCGCTTTAACCAGGCCTAGAAGCCTAGACGGTTAATGTAGGGGCCCAAATAACTACCAATACTACTTGTACTATAATTACAATCAGGAGCCCCCAAAACCCTATGCTAATTATTAAGGCCCCTACATTAGCCTTTTTTACTAGTCTGTTTCTGGTTTCTACCGTTGATGGTATAAAGCCTGCATACCCAAAATAAGGAATGTACCATAATTCCCATAGTTTAGGGTCCTTAAGGTACTGCAGGATGTATATCATCAACCGTATTTTTTTTAGGTGAAACGGATTCCTTATTGTAGTTATAGTATAATGAGTCCCAAAACCCCATTCTCATTATTAAGGCCGCTTTGTTAACAGTCAACCTTCAGTTCTCCGAGGACTCAGTTCACCAAAGTTATAACATGGTCAAAGTATATGCAGCCCAACCTTCCTTACGAAGTCCCATGATCCTCCAAGTAAGCCCTAAACCCTGAGGTCATTAGGGTTTAGGGTTTAGGGTTTAGGGTTTAGGGTTTAGGGCTGAACACTTGCAGAAACCCTGTAAATGCCGGGCTAAGGTCCGCGAGCAGCTGCTTGGCCAGCACTGGCGCACGAGAACCCCAAACCCCTACACCCAACGCCCCACCTAGTGGAGCTTGGGCCTCAGGGGTTTAGGGTTGGGGCTGAGGGCTTAAGGGTTTTAGGGCTTAGGGTTTTAGGGTTTAGGGCTTAACAGGCTGTCTGGTGCTTAGTAGGGAATGGGGGAATGGGTTATAGGGACTACTAGAAGGGACCTTAAGGGACTATCATAGGGATCCATTCCCCTATTCCCTACTAAGCACCAGACAGTTAAACCCGAAACATAAGGGTACCTTGTTTTGGGGTCCTTATGATAAGGATCCTACTATTTAGGGTTACCATAATATCCTAAGCCCTAAGCCCTATTTAGGGTTACTATAAGACCCTAAACCCCAAACTCTATAATACCCTAAACCCTAAGCCCCAAATCGAAGCCTCCAGTCTCCGTAGAGCTTCAGGAGGATCCCCACAACGACACTTTCAGCTTGTCTGGAGGGTTTTAGCGCTTCGGGTTTAGGGTTTAGGGCTTAGGGTTGAGGGTTCAGGGCTTACGGTTTAGGGTAGACAGGGTAAGTTATTTGTTATCGTGTTCGCTTCCGGGTTTATGGGGTCCAGCTTTCGCGTGTCAGAGTTCTGAAGATTCTTGATGTTGGCAGCCCTTTTCGGGTGCAATGGGTACATGTTTAGGGTTTAGGGTTTAGGGTACATCGCTCGGGCTCATACAGGGCTTATATCTTCTTGAGGTGATCGAACGACTTGCGTCTTGGTCCTGGAACCCTGCCCCCTTTTCGGACCTGGTCCATCAAAGCTGAAGTGCTCGTCTATAGGCTAATCAGCCCACGTAAACGGCACCAGTAAAGAGACAAACGTACCATATCCGAACCCCTTCATTGCAGACGAGATTCAACATAGGTACGAAACAAGCAAAACATGTCCCCTAAACCCTCAAACCCCTAAAAACCCTAAACCCTAAACCCTCAAACCCCTAAACCCTTACTTCAAAGCCTGGCAGAACCCTACGACAACCCTATGAAACCCCAAACCCATGAAACCTGTTAAAACCCCATAAACCCTATAATCTAAGGACTTTAGGAGGGACCCCTAATAGGGACCCTTAATCCCATTACCTTAAATTACCATTGTATAGTCCTTATATACCCCTTATATACATATACATATATATATATACATATATATATATAGAGCCAGATAGTCCCCGTATTAACCCCAATAACCTACAAGGGTCCCTATTAAGGGTCCCTCCTAAAGCCCTTAGATATAACTCTAGACCCCTAGGTCGGCGACCTGAAAACTTAGACTTCGAGATCTCAAACAGAAGCTCTTAGAGTTTAGGGTCTAGGGTTGGTTTAGGGTTTAGGGTTTAGAGTTTAGGGTTTAGGGTTTAGGGTTCAGGGTTTAGGGTTTAGGGTTTAGGGTTTAGGGCGGTTAGGTTTAGGTTTTAGTTTTAGGTTAAGGGTGTTTAAGGTTTTCGGTTTGGGACGGTGTTGGGTTTTGGGTTTAGACTTTGGGCTACTAGGGTTAAGGGTTTGGCGTGTTGGGTTGTGGTTTTGGGCTAAGGGCTTTGGGTTTAGGTTTGGGTTTAGGGTTTAGGTTTAGTTGAAGGGGGGTGGGAGAGTGGATCCCATAATCTTTTGGGAGTAGTCTCAAAGACCTCTAACGCTACCCCCTTTGAGGCTACCCCCTTTCTCTAGGTCCTCTTTTGGCCTTTCTCTAAGATACTCTAAAACACTCTAAAGCGCTCTAAATCGTTCTAAATCGTTCTAAA